TATATATATATATATATATATATATATATATATTAAATATACATTAAAAAAAAAATACAAAAATTATTGTTTAAACAATTTATATCTTCGACTGTTTAAAATATACCAAATATTGTTTAATCGTAAAACAAAATCCACATATTGCACAAGTACATTTTATAATTAATAAATTAATGATAATAATGATTATTAATTTTAAATGAAATTCAGTTGAATAGAAGTTTATTTGTGTCATTTATTAATTTAAAACTAAGAAATTTGTAAATTTGATAAATTAACGTTACAATAATAATTATTATTATTTATTAAATTAATTTTTAAGCACCTGCTGCTGTAACATTTACATATAAAAAGTGAAGTACACACAAACGGAGATAAAACGGGTATACGAGTAAAAAATGTTAACAAATTGTTACACTTATGCAGGTACTCGCGAATGGAGAAAATGTTATTGAGAGCACAAACAGATATAAATAAATTTTAGTCAGTTACTGATTTTTTTTTAATTAGTAATTATTAATTATTAGTTAATTAATTATGCTAATTAATATGGATTGTAAAGTAAAGAAAAAAGGATATGTGGAAAGTAACCGCACCAAGGAGAGACCAAACTCGCTTAATGAAAAATAATAACTCGACTTTTTTTTATTATTTATTATTAATCATTAATATTATTACTATTATGAGTTTATTAATGAATTATTATTCTGATTATTGAAATAATTATTTTTATTAATTTAGATTATTATTATTAATTAAATTAATTATATATTTATTTATGTGGGGTTGGTGAGACAGATGAGCCACCGTTCCAACGCACTAAATTGTTATAGTTATAACTATATCTATATATTGTTACTTAACTAATATTACTTCCGTTAGAAAAAAACAAATCAATTATTATTTAAACTTAATAATTGAAAAAAAAAAATGTATTTAAAAAAAAAAAATATGAGATTTATTTGTGGCTCCGATAAAATTTTACTCATACTAAGATTCACTAAATCAACTCTCAATAATGAATCTTTTATAATTTTTATAAATTAAAATAATCGATTTCTACGAAATTTTGTAAGCCATACTGGCAATTTTAATTATTATTATTATTATTATTATTATAATTAAAAATTGCATGGAAATCATGTTAATATTCTTAGTTTAAATTTGTTATATTTTTTTTTGTCGGTATTATAATAATTAATTTGTTAATTGTATCATTTATTTGGGTATGAGTTAATTGTTAATTTTTTTCTGTTTGCGTGTTTTATTTGTCGAGAAATTATAGTTAATTATTGTTTTTCTCAACTTAAAAATCATGAATTACTACTATTTCTACTACTACTACTATTATTATTGTAAAATAGCATAAGCTGATTAATTGAATTTTTATAATTACTATTATTATTTAATATAATTAAAAAGTTAAACTGAAATGAATTGTTAATAATAATTTCATTTGATAATTGAAAAAAAAAATAAAATATTTATTATAATTATGAATTAAAAAAAAAAAAAATATTACCAGAAAGAAAAAAATAATATGCTTCATGACAATATTACGATGTGAAGATAAAGTTTACGAAATATTTTGTGAACGGAGCTTTTTATTACCTATTTTGTATAGTAATCTCAACCAAAAGATTAATGATAAATAATTGACTTAATAAAAACTAAAACAAACAATAATATACATAATAATTTAAAAAAAGAAAAAATATGTAAAATAAAAGGCACTGTACATGCGATTATACTTA